TAATGACCGAATTGCCCTTATTATGTTTGAAAACTGAGAAGATGGAGAAAGGGAGAAATCACCTCCTCCCGATGAAAGCAATCCCCCCACTTGGCGAAACCGAATCCCTCCACTCGGCGAAACCAATCCCTCCACCCAGCTAGTGAAACCGAATCCCCCTATTCGGAGAAACCAATCCTCCCACTCGGCGAAACTAAATCCAAGCTCCTCCAGACACCGAAAAAGGTTCTCCGAAATCACATTGCCGCCGTTGCAGGAGTAAAGTGCTATCGGTGAAATTGGTAACCATTGCAAGAGTAGAGTGCAGTCATTTGAATATATGTAATGTATCTGCTGTCATATGGCTACTGGCTTTTGGTAAATACTGTTACGTGAATGGTACATTCCATTACACATGTAGTTAGTACGAAAGTTAATGGTTCAATGTTTACTTTGCTGTACTTCAGGTGTAGTCATTTGAATATATGTAATGTATCTGCTGTTATATGGCTGCTGGTTTTTGGCAAATATTGTTTCGTGAATGGTGCATTACATTACACAAAGTAGTAACTCTCACTATGAAAGTTGTAAATACCACTATGTGTTTTGTAAAATTTAGCGTGAAATTGTATTGTTTTTTATAGAGAATTTACCCCGCCCCTCACAAAAGGTTGTAAAGCCCATTGAAGAAGTAGTAAATATCATTGTGAAAGTTGTTATTCCCAATATGTATTTTGTAAAATTCAATGTGGAACTGTTTTGTTTTTGACAAAAATGTTGCCCAGCCCTTCACAAAAGGTTGCAAAACCCATTGAAAAAGTAGTAAATCTCACCGTGAAAGTTGTTATTCCCACTATGTGTTTTGTAAAATTCAGCGTGGAATTATTTTGTTTTTGACAGAAAAGTTGCCCACCCCCTCACAAAAGGTTACAAAACCCATTGAAGAAGTAGTAAATCTCACTGTGAAAGTTGTTATTCCCATTATGTGTTTTGTAAAATTCAGCGTGGAATTATTTTGTTTTTGATAGAAACATTGACTAACCCCTCACAAAAGGTTACAAATCCCATTGAAAATGTAGTAACACTCACTGTGAAAGTTGTAAATCCCACTATGTGTTTTGTCAAATTTAGCATGGAATTATATTTTTGTAGAGAAAAGGTGCCCTGCCTCTCAAAACAGGTTGTCAAACCCCTCGAAGAAATGGTCAAATTCACTTCGGGAGTTATACATCTTATTATACGTGTAGTAACATTCTGGGCAAATGATTTAACAATACTTGAAAATCAGGCAGCTTTATATTTCCTGAAAATAGTTTGCAAATCCCCTTACATACAAATCCCCTTGCAAATCAGAGAACCTTTTTCGGTGACTGGAGGAGCTTGGATTTAGTTTTGTCAAGTAGGGGGTTCGGTTTCGTTGAGTGGAGGGATTGGTTTCATGGAGTACGGGGATTCGGTTTCGCTGAGGGGAGGGATTAGTTTCACCGAGTAGGTGGATTGATTTCGCCAAGTAGGGGCAGTTTCTCTTTCGTCGAGTGGGGGGGTTGCTTTCGCCGGGAGGAGGCGGTTTCTACCTTTCTCTATCTCCTCAGTTTTCAAACATAATAAAGGCAATTCAATCTTTAAGTCAAAAATCAAAATTCCAGATTGGTACCTGATGCCTTCTTTGTCATTTTGCTTATTCAGGTGTCTTATTTGTCTTTTTGAAATTCACATGGTATTTTACTGTCATTTTTCCTAAATTAAATGCAAATTTATTCTAGGCCATTTACTAATTCCATCTTAAATTTTCACACTGTTTCGATTTATTCTACATTATTTATTTATTCTTGCCACAAAAAATTAAATTAATAATATTGCTCATAATTTATAAAATATTCCAATTTTACTGTATAGAATTAACACTATTACGCTTAAAGTTAATTATTAAGTTCTCTTTTGCCAGTGTTAATTATTAAGTTAATATATTATAAATTTTGCAATAAATATTCAAGTAAATTATAATATTTTGTTTTAGGAAAACACTTATGTCAAAAAGTTTTATATATATGATATTAAGTTCTTCAGTCACACATTGCTATACATTCTAATTTATTTTAAGTGGGTTTATAATTAAATGCTATTTAATGTTAATATTTTAAAAACAGTACACATGATCACGGGAAAAATTGACGTAACGAATAAAAAAAAATTTGATCTCGTTATTTTATATTATGTGTTGGCTGAAATTTAATTGTTTATTACATTCAGATTCAGCAATCCCTCATTCTTTTCTTGGCACGAACGGGACCTACTAGTTCCACGTTCCCTGGAGCATAGAATAGTAGCTAGTAAATTAGTTGCACATTTATTCTAGATTATTTATTTATTCCATCTCAAATTTTCACACTGTTTCGATTTATTCTAGATTATTGATTTATTCTTGCCAACAAAAACTTAATTTAATAATATTGCTCATAATTTATAAAATATTCCAATTTTACTGTATACAATTAACACCATTGCACTCAAAGTTAATTATTAAGTTCTTTTTTGCCAGTGTTAATTATTAAGTTAATATATTGTAAATTTTGCAATAAATATTTAATTAAATTATACTATTTTGTTTTAGGAAAATATTTATGTCAAATTTTTTATATCTATGATGCTAAGTTCTTCAGTCACACATGACATGTGTTCTAATTTATTTTATATGAGTTTATAATTAAATGTTATTAAATATTAATATTTTAAAAATAGTACACATAATCATGTGTAATTAGAGAAATTGACATAATGAATATAAAAAAACTTGATCTAAATATTGTCCTTTGTTTATATTATGTGTTGGTTTAAATTTAATTGTTTATTGCGTTTAGATTCGGCAAATTTATATGTTGGGGGAAAAAAACGATTCAGCAAATCTATATAGAAGATCAGGTTTTAATTTCTAAATCTACTTCTCCACCACCATACGTCTACGAGTAATATGCAATTAAATTTGACAGAGCTTTAATTTTCATCTTTTTTTCTTAAATTTAGATTCAGCAAATCTAGAGAAGATCTGGTTTTAATTAAATCCACTTTTCCGCAAAAAAAAAAAAAAAAGGTCCCCTAAAAGGCTACTATATGCTATTAATTTTTTTTACCCAAAAAGAAGTTCCTAAAAACAAGCTATTAGTTTAGATAGAAAGCGGTTTCACCTCAATATAAATTCAAATTTTGAGAAACGTATTTATTATGAGGACTTCAACCTTAATGCTTACAACCGATTGAGATTAGTTTCAACTACAAAGTGGCTTTAGGATACTCTGAGTTATATTAATTTTCTACATAATTGCTAAATAAAAATTTTAAAGTTGATTAAACTGTAATCTAATTCAATATGATTTACAAAGTCTATATGTAATACTTTCTAGTGTATAAAAAAAACCAGTAAGTGTACATACTACAGTATAAAATTTTTTGACAAACTTTTGGCAATAGAGCAAGACTTAAAAAATCAATTGTTGTATATTTATTTCTATAATAAAGATATTAAATTAAGATTTTCATGAAATGAGAGGGAATGGAGAGTGTATCCAAATTTTCTTGCTATAAATAATAAACACTATTATAAACACCTCTTTAAAAAAAATAAAAATAAGAAAGGACTCTAGATTGGAGAGTGTATCCAAATTTTCTTGCTATAAATAATAAACACTATTATAAACACCTCTTTAAAAAAAAATAAAAATAAGAAAGGACTCTAGATCTGCCCAGGGCGATAAACAATCACTTAAGCCGCAGCTTTCCTGGTTTATTCCCTTCCCTGGATGATACTTCCCCCTTTCAGCCTACTGCCTACCTTACTTACAATCCCTCCGCTTAATTCTGTTTTTTTTTTTTAAATTAATAGACAAAATCCTTCCGCTTAATTTTAACGATGATAAATTAAAATAGGGGATTTTACGGGAAAATGAAAAACAAAAAAGACTGATAATTAGGGTGCATGGTTTTGGAAGATTAGACAACAAAAGGGTATTGAAGAAAAAGGTCAAAAAGAAAATAGGATGGGAAAAACATGCCGTAGGATTAAAAGCCACCAGGGTTGGCAGTTAGTTGTAAACATATCAAGCAGTCAAGCCACCATGGTTGGCAGTTAGTTGTAAACCTACCAAGCAGTCATCTGACTAGTCTGATTTAAACAGATTGATTAAACTGAATTTAAGTTTTTTTTTTGTTAAGTATGAAATAACGTTGTTTTACTTTTAGCCAAATAAAAATAGCAGTGAATTATATTTTAGAAATATTCAACTTACTCATAAAGTACTCCTTTGGTCCTTAATATATAACTCAATTCTTGAGTTAATTTTAGTTTTAAATATAAGACCTATTTCTCATATTTATCAATTTTCTTTAAATTATTTCTCAACCATAATCAAGTAGAAAAGAGAGAATGGGTATTAAGAAAGATGATTATGGTGTTTTAGAAAAAATTTGTCACTTTTCTTATAATTAACTAACTTATCTAATTTCGTTAATTTAATCAAATTAATTAAATGAGTTTTATATTAAGAAGCAGAGGAGTAATACATTTCATTTTCTACTTAAATTTATTCTTTTTAGGGTTATATAAATATTTCTGCACATTTTAATTTTTGACCATGTTTCTACACATTTTAATTAAATTAAATTATTTTTCATGTTTACATCCACATCAGAAACAATATCCTATATTTTAATTAAAATTGGTTTTTTTCATCCAACTTAATTAAAATTGGTTTGATTTACGGCCTTCTTCAGTCTTTTTTAAGACTTGTTTGGATTGGCTTATAAATATTTTTTAAATATAATTTACAGAATACAAGATAAATATGTAAGAAGCATTTTACCTCGACTTACGTAAATTTATTTAAAAATCTATTTTGAATGGAAGTCCAAATATAACTTTAATTTTGGGTACCTTCAAGAGTTTAGGTCCGTTACCAAGGAAATATTCCTAATCCTGTAATTATCTTAATAAACCAGGGCCAAACAATGCCGCCGTTCACCTTCATCACTCATGACTCGCCCATAAAATCCCGAATCACCCGACTGGTTTTTCACATCCTAACTCCTTGGTGATTAAACACTTCTTCTTCTCCAACCACATCGATGGGTTCTCGCTACGAGGTAGAAGTTAAGATCGAATCTGCCAAAAACCTGAAGAACGTGAACTGGCGTCACGGCCCCAATCGCCCGTACGCCGTCGTTTGGGTTGACCCCAAGAACAAGTGCTCCACGAAGGTCGACGAATCTGGCGATACCGACGCCTATTGGGATGAAACCCTCCGCATCCCTTTGCCTTCTGGTCCCATTGAGGACCTCACTCTCTACATCGACGTCGTCCACGCCGGCTCCGAGGAGGACACCAAGCCGCTCATTGGCTCGGCTAAGCTTAAGCTCGACGAGGTTCTTCAAGAGGTCGGAATCGGCGATCGCGCCACCCGTAGCTTGACCCTCAAGCGACCGTCGGGAAGGCCACAAGGTAAGGTAGACGTGGGAGTTTCGATCAGAGAAATAGGCTACCCTGCGCCTGGTTTGTATTACACTCCCCCTTACGGAGTACCACCGTCGTCGGGATCGCGTGATTACTACGGAGCACCGCCGCAAGATCCATACTATTCAGCGCCGCCACCGGCTGGGTACCCATACAGCGGATACAATGCGCCGTCGCAGCCCCCAATGGCCTACGGACAGCCGAATTACAGTTATGATCAGGGGAGTCAGCCGGCGTATGTACGGGAGGAGAAGAAGAGCAAGTTTGGTGGGATGGGGACGGGATTGGCTGTGGGCGCAGTGGCTGGAGCTTTGGGTGGACTCGCACTTGCAGAAGGATTTGATGCTTTGGAGGATCATGCTGCAGACGAAGCCGCAGAGAAAGTCGAGGAGGATCTTGCTAGTGGAGACGACTTCTAGAAGGAAGCATGGTCCAGCTTGATTGTCAATAAAGTCTTTTGAATGGTTTTTTTCTTCCTCCCCTCCCTTCCTGGGTGGAAGGCGCCTTTGAAATATTATCTTGGAAAAATTTCAATAAAGGACTACAGAAGACAATTTATATCAGTCAAAGACTAAAACTTTCTGAAATCTCACTGTAGGATTAAGGGACCAAATTAAAATTAAAATTTAGAATGAGATTACAATAATACCCCTCACTTTTTATTTTATTGAAAAATAAATATTTACCGGAGTTACTGTTCCGGCCACCGCAAGTCGGAGCGGTGGTCGCTGGCGAGAGTCCGGCCACCGGTGGCCGGAATGAACTCATGACCCCTTGGCACACCAAAAGGCTTGTAACCACCAAGCTAAGCAACCCATTCAATCATAAGATGCAAATAAAATTATATATAACAAAACAAACACAATTGTCCAAATATAAGTGAACAAGTGAAATTTGATGGTTCACAAGTGGAATTCCGCAATTTACAACAAAAATTAGGCAATTTACAAATAACATAATAGAAGTCATAACCCCAAATGCAAGTGTCTAAGTGCAAATGAGCAAGTGAAATTTGAAGATTTACAATAAAAGTTTATGGATTTACAACCCAAATTTGGCAAACGCAAGAGAATTTACAACCCAAAATGTAAGTATTTGAGTGTAAATGAACAAGTGAAATTCGACGATTTACAAGTGTAATTCCGCAATTTACAATAAAAATTAGGCAATTTACAAATAACACAATAGAAGTCATAATCCCAAATGCAAGTGTTTAACTGCAAATGAGCAAGTGAAATTTGAAGATTTACAACAAAAGTTTATAGATTTACAACCCAAATTTGATAAACACAAGAGAATTCACAACCCAAAATGTAAGTATTTGAGTGTAAGTGAATAAGTGAAATTCGACGATTTACAAGTGAATTCAGCAATTTACAATAAAAATTAGACAATTTACAAATAACATAATAGAAGTCATAACCTCAAATGCAAGTGTTTAAGTGCAAATGAGTAAGTAAAATTTGAAGATTTACAACAAAAGTTTATGGATTTACAACCCAAATTTGGCAAACGCAAGAGAATTTACAACCCAAAATGTAAATGTTTGAGTGTAAGTGAACAAGTGAAATTTGACGATTTACAAGTGGAATTCCGCAATTTACAACAAAAATTAGGCAATTTACAAATAACACAATAGAAGTCATAACCCCAAATGCAAGTGTTTAAGTGCAAATAAGCAAGTGAAATTGTCGAATTTCACTTGTAAATCTATAAACTTTTGCTGTAAATCTTCAAATTTCATTTGCTCATTTATACTTAAACACTTGTATTTGGGATTGTGAGTTCCATTATGTTATTTGTAAATTTTTTAATTTTTGTTGTAAATTGTCGAATTTCACTTGCAAATCTATAAACTTTTATTGTAAATCTTTAAATTTCACTTACTCATTTGCACTTAAACACTTGCATTTGGAATTATGACTTCTATTATGTTATTTGTAAATTTCCTAATTTTTGTTGTAAATTGCTGAATTCTACTTGTAAATCGTCGAATTTCACTTGTTCACTTACACTCAAACACTTACATTTTGGGTTGTGAATTCTCTTGTGTTTGCCAAATTTGGGTTGTAAATCCATAAACTTTTATTGTAAATCTTCAAATTTCACTTGTTTATTTGCACTTAGACACTTGCATTTGGGGTTATGACTTCTATTATGTTATTTGTAAATTGCCTAATTTTTGTTGTAAATTGCGGAATTCCATTTGTGAACCGTCAAATTTCACTTGTTCACTTATATTTAGACAGTTGCGTTTGTTTTGTTATATATAGTTTTATTTGCATCTTACGATTGGATAGGTTGCTTGGCTTGGTGGTTATAATCCTTTTGGTGTGCCAAGGGGTCATGGGTTCAAACCCTCCCTTGGCTACTTTGTTTTAAACAAAAAAAACTCCGGCCACTGGAGGTCCGGCCGGAGCTACTGTTCCGGCCACCGGTGGCCGGACTCCCGCCGGCGACCACCTGAGCGCCAGTGGCCGGACCTCCGACCTACGGTGGCCGGAACAGTAACTCCGGTAAATATTTATTTTTTAATAAAATAAAAAGGGAGGGGTATTATTGTAATCTCACTCTAAATTTTAATTTCAAAGTCCCTTGGTCCTGCAGTAAGATTTCAGAAAGTTTTGGTCCTTGACTGATATAAATTGTCTTCTGCGGTCCTTCACTGAAATTTTCCCTATTATCTTCTCGTCGTGTATTCTGGAAAGCAAAGATTAAAAAAAAAAAGTGCTTGGATTCCTACGGAATTTACTAGACAATCAGCAATCAAAACAAAAGGAATCTTTTCTGTTATGTTTAGATAGAAAGAAAATGAGGAAGGAAAAAAAAAACTAAGAAGAAAAATAGTATGAGAAATAGTTTTTTTTCTGTTTGGATGAGAAAAGAAAAATTATGAAGAAAATAAAGTGGATTCCACAGCCTATTTTCCTCCCTACTTTTCTTTCTATATATGGAGAGAAAATGAGAAGAAAACATATTTTTCCTCTCTACTCTTATATATGTTTTTCAAAAAAATAATACCTATTTTTTTAATCTTTTCACTTTATTTATTATTATCAAGTCTTTCTTTTGTGTTTGCTTGATTAAAAAATCAAATGACTAAAATTACAAAAATCCTTCTAAAATGAACTGAAAGGAAAAATAAGGAGAGTTGTTGTTTTGGTTTTTTTGGCATTATATTACAAGAAATGTTATTTTTTTTCTTTTTTTACAATATTATTTGATATTAAAATATAATAACATGAAAATATATCTTTATCAAATAATTTGATTTTAAATTATATGATTATGTTAATGTAAATATGGTTTTTCATTATGATATTTAATTTGATTTTAATGAAGATATATTTTGCTATAACAAAAAAGGTATTTTAATTATTCATATATTTATTTATTTTTTCTTTTTGTTTTTTCTTGTCCATCTAAATATAAGAGATGATAATTTTTTCTTTCAATTTTCTCTTCTCTTTATTTTTTCTCTTTTCATTTTTTTTCCTCTCAACTTTTCTTCTCATCCAAACAGAGGTTTCCGTTTTTTTGTAATCGTATTGTTCTGATTGGACTTTTTGGACGAGTTGGGGCTTCGCAGAATCGCAGTGCAATAGTGCATGTTTCTCGGAGTATTAGTATTTTTTAAAAAAAAAAATAAGTCTTAAATCTAGTCGTTGGTTAAATTGAAAAAAAAAATAACTTTTGAATTTTAAAATTTTAATTCAGTCTTGATTACTACATTTCGTCTTTATACAATTTTAAAATGTTATCAACCAACTAACAATGGATCAGTTGGTCCTATTAGAAATCTCATGAATAATCCGAGTAATTGGGTAAAACTTAGAACCTATCCTTTTTCTTGGCCAAAAAAGAAAAGAAAAGAAAAGAAAACCCGTCCTTGCTCTGATCAAGATCAATAAATAGTAAATAAATGGTAAACTTAATCAATGGGCTAAAATACAGTCAACTTGAAGAAGTCTTAGGCTTTGTTTGGTTCAGCAGAGGGGAGGGAAGGGGAGATTAATTAAAAGAAGGGAAGAAGAGGGGAGGAGAGGTTATGGGTTTTGTTTGGTTGGAGGGGAGGGGAGCGAAGATTTCTTGTTTAGTTTATAAGAGGAGGGGGTAAGATAATTATAAATTGACAAATATGCCCTTATCTCTATATTTAGACTACTTTATTCTTTTATTACAATATTCATATCAAAATTATTATTTCTTAATTTATTAATTTCAAAAAAATCAATCACCTCGATTACATGTGATAAAAAAATTATGATAAAACTAAAAAAAATTAGGAAATATGATAAAAAGTTTAACATTCTGCATCATTTGAAACATCCTATCTTTAACCCCTCAAAGTATGCATTAGTAAGTGCTATGGTTCAAGCAGGTTATATGACACAAGCTCGTAGATTTAAAATTTCAACATAATTATTCAGGTTATTATTCACTGCTCCAATTCTAGATTATAGGCCCAATTTCAAAAATTCATAACTAATTCCATAAAAATCGTATCTCTTTGTGTACACATCCAATTGAGGCGATCTATCTCTCGTTTTAAAGCTTGGGATGTGTACTATGAATCTGTCAAATTTTGTGGCTTAACTCATTCATTTGATAGGTCAAACTGGAGCTACAAACTTACTACTCCATGACCTACGTTTTATCCCTTAACCTCTGTTTACTTTAATTCTTTCTATTTCTTTGGCACACATAAATTGGGTTTATGCTTTCCTAATCATCCTCATACATTTCTATTCCTCCCATAAACATTGTAATTAAATACATAGCATCTTTGACATCCATAACATAAATTACATAATAGGAGAATTACATATTGAATAATAACATCATTCATTAACGTCAATAATTCTCCACTTTCTTCTGCTTGCCTCTCGTGCCATTATTGCCCACCATTGATTGACTTAAATGGTTGGTTAAGGAGGGGTGAGATTCAAGAGAATCTCACTAGCAAACACCACCCATAAGCATGCAAGACATAATGCACATGCATGACATGTTATAACATTAACATATGAATGCCATGGAAAGTAAGCTAAAACATTTCATGTTTTCATAATATATTGCTAAAGCAAAGCATAACATAAACTTGCAAACATAACTTTGCAAACATTTCATCATAGCTTAGTCACATCATGGCAACACAACCACATCATGCAAGCATACATATCAAGCACACAATATAGGTAAGTTCACTACCTTGTAACATAGCTTTCCTCTTGCTTTTCCTTTGATTTCCTTGTCTTTCCAACCCTATGGGTTTTCGGTCAACACCATTAAACATCGTCTTGGATGTTCTAAGGTCTTAAACACATCAATACATGATGCAAAATGATTATTAGAATCAAGTTATCAACTTATCTCTACTTGATTCTTTCTTGAACATACTTGAACTCTAACTCTTGAGTTTCAATTCCAACTTTCCTAAAATTATTTTCACATACTATCCCCACATAATTTT